AGACAAGGAAGTATGAGGTATGTTTAGGAAGCAGTTCATTTTTCTTAACAGAATACAGAATATATGTTGGAGAATCTTAGGAGAAAAGGCAGAAAACTGGGTTGGTGCTTTATCCTGAAGGGCTTTGATTGCCAGACTCAAGACGTACTTAACATATATAAAATTTACAAATAAAAGGTCACCCTACAAACTATATAACACTGCAGAGTTCATAAAACAACATCTTCAATTTGTTTTTCAAATGTGCTCAGTCAGTGTCAAATGAACTTTAATAAATGTTTTGTAAACCTTAATGAATTATTCTTAACTTGTTAGACTCTTGAAAAAGCTAGTAGAATCTTCATTCCCATTGAATTTAGGATATTTTCTTCCAAAAATTTATGTTTTTCTCTTTTGATACTTTGAACTATTTAATTATTCATAAGGTATTTGAGATTCTTTTATTTTAAAAATACAATATCAACAAACTTGTCATGGCTTTTTTGTGTTTTCATATTATTATTACATTTGATACAGTAAAAAAATATTTTTGCTAAAGTCCTAATTTTATTATTTCATAGATCTATTTCTATTTAATTATACTATGAATCTATGCCCTTTTATGTCAGGATAATTTGGAACTTAAAAGTCTAATTCCTAATATGCTTCATATACATAAAGGGGAGCTCTGATAGCATAGTGCCTAAGGCATCTGATTGCTAACCAGAAGGCTGGTGGTTCAAACCCACCAGCCACTCCTCAGAAGGAAGGTTGGGCAATCTACATAAAGGGTTGCTATTAATTATTGTGAATAATTTAACAAACATACTCAAACATATACATCATAAGCACTATTACTCAAATTACTTTTGAAACAATTCTTTTAGAACTGCCTTGAGGCCTGTGGTACATTCTTTTGAATATCCTCAAAGTAGCAAATCTTCATGTTTTGAAAATAGATGTTATATCTAGATATATCTAGAAATCACTTGGAGACAAATTTGATGTGTAATCACACTGAGTGATATCATAATGATTCTGATTTTCTTGGTGATACATCTGAAAGCAATTCCAAAAGAAAATTCTGAAATATTTTGAGTAATGATAGCATAATTTAAATCAGAGTATAACCTTCCAATGTGACTACTTTTAAATACATTCATATGAATTTAATTTAATCATGCTTCATTCAGTATTCATCACCTACTGACTATGTGCCAGCTTCAGTTATTGAAGACATTCAGCCTACAGGTATAGTTTCCCACCATTTACCTAATGAGAAACAGGCTGGAGTTCTTCCCAACTGATGGGTAGGATTTAGAATTAATATGCTTTTCCTAAATCCAATATCTAGTGAGTCACGGAACCATAACCTTTATTCATAATCTCCATCTGTGGGCACCAAGATCACATGAATAAGCTTCTGATGTGGGACCTGTTTTGTTTTCTCTTTTTCAGCTGGAACTTTGAGCCCTACCGTATTCTGAACCTTTACTATCTGCTAACTCCCTCACAATCCCCAAGAACTGAGCCCTGCTTCCTATGCCCCCATCAATGGACCTTAAATAAGGCTCTCTGTGACCAAGACTATTTAACCTTTCTGCCCTAAAACACTACACATGTCTGGAAAGGCCTTGCTCCCATGTCCCTGCCCAGCAGATGAGAACCCATTCATAGAAATTCTGATTGCTACCTCAGATATTCTATTTGGGACTTCTGAACACCTTTCTTATGGGCCAACTTTATTAGTCCCAGTTTATTCCACTCTCACCAGCTAATTATTGCACTTTCACAAGCCTTAAGATGTGGGTACTAGCATTATGGGTTAATACAATTTTTTATATAGCTTTTCATATTTTAGCAAACACTTTCACCTGTACTGCATAATATGACCACCACAGCAATTTTGCAAGGTACATTAGTGCTGAAATAATAAAACAATTGCTGCTCTATTTATTTTTTAAAAATCTTGTTGCTTTTATAATCTCAAATGAAAATACTAATTATACCATTGCATATTATATCTGGATGCATTAGCCCTTTCATTGTCAAAGGTAGAAAATGTTTCAATAAACTTTTTGCTTTTACTGTTAAGTAAGTATTTAATGAACACATAATCAACTAGGAATTTGAAAATATAAACAGGAGCCTCTTTGTTTAATTTAATATATGTCAATTATTCATTTCCATAGCAGACTACCAGACCATACTGTGAGAGAAGATTGTTTTTTCGCCTTTTATGTCACCTTTTCCAATTTAATGAGTTTTCAGTGTAATGAGTTTTCACATTAACTTATTCAACATCATTATTATAAGTATTATTTATGCCCAGCAAAATAAAACTTTTAAAGGACTAATAATAGCTAACATATATTGAGTGTTTACTATGTGCCCGGCGCTGTTCCAAACACTTTCACATGTATTAAGCTATGTAATATTTGTAACAATCCTATGAGATAGGAATTATCTCTCTATCTGCTCTAGAGAAAGGTCTCCTTTCAACATCTGTGGGACTGGCATTCCTTGGAGATCTCCATGTGTCTTGGCATCAATCTTCCCCTGGTTCTAGGACGTTCTCAGCACAGGAACCCTGGGTCAAAAGGATGCTTTCCATTCCCAGCTCTGCTTTCTTGGTGATAGTAGGTTCCTCCCTCTCTGCTTGCTTCTCTTGTAATATAAAAGGTTATTCAGGCCACACCCCAGGGAAACTCCCCTTACATCAGATCAGGGCTGTAACCTAAGTAAGAATGTTGTATCCTACCCTACTCCCCTTATAACTGATTGGCTGATCACATCACATTATAGAGAATAATTACATGATCGCACAACTGCCAAATCACTGAGAATCCTGGACCAGCCAAGTTGACACATATTTGTATGGGGGGAGGAAACACAATTCAATCCATGACAGGCACTATTATTATCCTCAATTTTTTGAAATTTATTTTTTCCAACCTCTGTCAAACCTATATATATTCATGGGTATAGTCCCTTTGCCTCCCCACCCCTTTCAAGTTTGTCTATCTATTTATCCACTCATAGACTATTGTTATTACTGTTATTGCAGTATTATGTATATGTAACAGTATATATATGTCATAGTATTTACCTTTGTTACCTTTAACTCTTGTGTCATCCACATTGCTAGGAAGTAAATGATTGATACAAATCCAGGTAACATGACTTCCCCTTGCTCTTAACTACTATGCCTCAATGCTAGATGTACAGGGCACTTTAACTTGTATTTAGTACCCTCAACATCTCCAATATGCATTAAGATCAGTTTACTATTTCAAGAAAACAGTCAAAATAACAGAAAACCACAAAATATTTGTCTTGTACCATCGGCATGCAGATAGATTTTGACATGTAATCATACCTGCACAAATTTTAGAATCCCTTTGTATTACTGTCCTAGGCACAATTCAAAAGTTTTAGTGGATCATTTAATAAAATTACTAAAGAAATGTTTCCTGTGAGTTAATTTTATAAAATAATGTTTAAAAAATATGAGTGGAAGGCTAAAAAAGCTTGCTACCGTATTTATGCCCAAATCACTAACAATAGGCCTAATTCTATAGTCTTTATTCAGATAATTCATTAAAGTCAGGCACCCCCAAGATTTTTAGAAATCTTGAATTCCTACTCCAAATATAACTGTAGAACAAAACCAAAAAACCAAACTCACTGTCGTTGAGTCTATTTGACTCATATCGACCCCTCCTTGGGTTTCTGAGGCAGTATCTCTGTGAAAGTAGATTGCCCAATCTTCCTTCCAAGGAGTGGCTGGTGGGTTTGAACTGCCAGCTTTCTGGTTAGCAGTCAAATGCCTTAAGCACTACACCACCAGAGCTCTCATAACTGTAGAGATATTCTTTTTCTTTTTCCTTTTGTAGAGATTATTTAAAGCACTGGTATCTGGATGGTAGAATTACAGGTAGTTGTGATTTTCTTATTTATATTTTAATGTATTATTTTGTAAAATTTCCACAATACACATATATAGTATTACTGCTATGCTCAGAATAACAATCATTTTATTTTGTACCTACTGTCAGGAAAGCCAATGAACCAACAACATTAGAGTTCTCAAATCGCAATATAATGCTACACATCATCAAGGGTAAAGTATTAAAGCAGAAGGTACGGGCATGCCTGAGGCAAAATTGAAATGAGTAAAATTTATTGGAAGGTAGACCCCCAACAAACATCCTTTTCAATTCACTAAATAAAATATACATCCTAGACAACATACATGAAATATATATGAAATCTGGTAGCGTAGTGCCTAAGACACTTGACTGCTAACCAGAAGACTGGTGGTTCAAGCCCACCAGCCAATCCTCGGAAGGAAGATGGGGCAATCTACTTCCGTAGTGATACTACCTTGGAAACTGCCTTGTCACTATGAGTCGGGTCCAACTTGATGGCACATA